GGGGGTTAGGGTTTAGGGTTTCGGAAACCGCCCTGCAACGCACCTCGCAGGGCCCCTGGATGTACGGTTTAGGGTTTAGGGTTCAAGGTTGCCGAGGCAGGCCTCAACCCTACACCCTGAACCCTAAACCCTAAACCCAAATCCCTCGTGAGCTTTCATTGAGTTTAAGTGCTCAGCCTTCAGGGCCTTAGGGCATGTGGACCCTCGTCGTCAAGGACGCTGCTTTTGGGTTGAACGGTTCAGATTTGAAGGTGTAGGGCTTATGGGGTTTTGGGCTTTATAGGGTTTAGGGTTTAGGGCTCAAGGGGATTCTTAGGTTTCAAGGACTCCGGCTCCAGGGCTTTGTAGCCTGGGGTTTAGGGTTTAGGGTTTAGGGTTTAGGGCTTATCTGAGGTGCATTTAACCTGACATCTGCGAAACCTCATCCGGCGCTGGCCGATGGCTCCCTCCACCGTGCATCTTCCCTGAACCCGAAGCCTGCAACCCCAAACCTGTGCGCGCCTGGTGTCGAGGCTGAAGGGCTTCGGCAGCAAAGGCGCTAGAACTTTTGAAGGGTCCTCATCAGCCTTGAATCCTAGGCCTCAAGTTCCCGAGGATGCTTTTCAAGAAACTCCTCCAGGAACCCCTAACCGGTTTAGCGCTTTAGGGTTTCAGGGTTTAGGTTTTGCTTTAGGGTTTACTTCACATCCTGAAGCCCGAAGATACGGAGGATCCTCATCAGCTTCGGTGCAGTCTGCCCCCAGCCACCGCGCCAGGCGCGTGAACTCCGGCGCAGAGAAGTTCTCCAAGGGCAGCTGGAAAGCAGGAAGGCCTCCGGAACCGGAACATTAGGGTTTAGGGTTTAGGAACAGTCTCCAAGGCCCTTCTAAGACGGCCTCAGGGGTTCGATGAGACATGTTGCTTCAGGCTCTAGAAGTCACTGCTGACGTCGTTTGCTGATACTTCGCGTCGAGGCCGGAGTTTCCAAGCCCCCGCAGCAATGAGACCCCGAAGAGCCTCCACCCGTTCCCAATCACACCTGATGCCGAGGCGTCACAATTCCGCGTTCCTCGATGGTGTCACATATCATAGTGCATTTTCACATAACGTGTTGTGAGAATCTATGCTATGTGCAACTTGATAGTGCCGCATCTTGATGCCTTGCAGCACGCAGTCCGAAAGGCGACAGAGCGTCTGGAGGCGCCAGAGATGTCACGCTCGCGCGCGCTCGCGCACCCACTGTTGGTCCAAGAAGGAGGAGAAGAGCATTTCGGGATTCATTGTATGATAGTGCAGCATCCGTAAGGACTAGTTCCTTTTTGGGATTACCTTATGGGATCCTAAACATGAACCTCAAAAAAGGAAACATAAGTCTATAAGGGTGTACTATTACTACTTATTCCGACCTCTACGTTGCCGGACGTGACCGGTCGAAAAAATCCTCCATCGAAATTCTGGGATTGTTGCAGCCCGGCCGACCAGGGATCTTGTCTTTTGGGGGGTTCCGGTGCGCTACAAAGATGCTAACGGACTCGCTTAACCAAACTAGAGCAGCCTTCTAGAAGCCTGGACACTGAAATGTTGGGACCCAAGACACTTCACATCTAAGGCTTCGAACTTACGACAATGTACACAGAGAGTGTGGACCCCACAGAAAAATCCTGCGCATCTCAAGAAGGTTTGTTTGACAAACCCCGCGAGGTTCCTCAGAGTTTCCTCATGCAGAAGCCTTGTGTCGCCCAAACCCAGAGAGCCCAATACGCCTTAATTCAGGAATGTACCTTAAATCACAATATTAAGGCCCCTATAATTTAAGGTATATTCCTTATTTGAGGGGTATTGGGCTCTCTGGAACCCTAAACCCTAAACCCCAAACCCTAAACCCCAATTCCCAAACCCCAAACCCTAAACC